AGGGTTCAGGGTTTCTGGCTTGGGGGGTGAAGGCTCGGTCTCCAGCATACTGAACTGGCAGTCCCCGCGGGAGTGCCTGGCGCGGTTGTAGGTTCTGAGTTCAAATTTCAGGGTCTAGGGTTTGGAGAACCCTAAACCCCAAACCCTAAGTTGCAGCCCAAAACCCGAAACCCTAAACCCTAAACCTTTAACCCGACGCACCTCAGCGCTAAAAGCCCTACATCCTGAACCACATGTCTCGTTGCTTACTAGTTCTTCGTAGGGACTTCGGACTCCTTGGAGAACCCCTTCAAGGGTTTGGGGCTTTTTAGGGTTTTAGGGTTTAGGGTTTTAGGGTTTAGGGTTTAGGGGCTTAGGGGTTTATAGGGTTTTTAAGTTTTAGGGTTTAGGGTTTAGGGTGGACACAAGGTACCTAGTTCCGCAATTGCCCACTAAGCTCGAAACCCTGAACTCGGAACTCTAGGTGGAGCCCTTGAGTTGAGCACGTTGAGCGCTCGGGAGTTGATCCTCCGGGTGTTCTCATGTTCTCTTTCAACAATTTCAAACGTCGCATGATTGACTAGGCTGCCCAGCAACCTGGGATGAAAAAGGGTGCCCTTTCTTGCTTAAAGGGGTCTATAAGAGAACCTAAACCTACCAAAAATGGAATAAGGGTACTTCTGGGCCTCCTAGTCTCATGTTCTCTTAGAACAGTTTCAAACGTCGCATGATTGAACAAACCCCAGGGTCCAGGGTTTAGGGATTTGGGTTTGAGTCTAGGGTCTACCACTAGTTGCTTAAGAACCCCCCAAGACATGAAAGATGTTCTTCCGTATATTACCCTTATAAGGAAGAATACTGTTTTTGTTTTTTTTGGGGGGGTCCTTAAGCAAATAGTAGTGTAGGGTTTTCGAGGGCTAGGGCCTCGGCTACTTGGAGGTACAGGATACTTACTAACCCAATACTAACTGTACTTCACACTAGGGCGCGGAAGGGGCTTACAAGTGGGTTATAAGTTATAAGCACAGTTAGTATTGGTTAGCAAGTGCCCTGAACCTCCAAGTAGGGCTCGATTCAGAGCCTTGCCAGGACCCTGCCAACACAAAATCCTGAACCCTAAGCCCTAAGCCCGAAGCCCCAAACCCCAAACCCCAAACCCTAAACCCTAAACCCTAAACCCTAAACCCTAAACCCTAAACCCTAAACCCTAAACCCTAAACCCTAAACCCTAAACCCTAAACCCTAAACCGCATCGACGCGGAGGGACCTTGGCCGCCTTGGCCACGGGGAACCTGCGAAATGCTCGCATCATGGCCTCAGCGCACTGAACCCCAAACCCTAAACCCCAAATCCTAAACCCGAAACCCTAAGCCCTAAACCCTAAACCCTAAACCCCAAACCCCAAACCCTGTCAATCCCGAAAAATTCAAACCCCAAGCCCTCGCAACCGGAAGCCAGGGGCTTTTCCTCCCCTCCCATGATATCAAGGCCCCTCCCTCCCCCCTAAACCCTAAACCCTAAATTTCATACCCAAACCCTGAACCCTGAACCCTAAGCCCTAAACCCGTCTGCCTTGAAAAAGAACTGGTCTTGATTTGGGAGCTTCCTAGATAAAACTAGGTTCTCGGAAGCCAACGCTCCGAGCTTGCACGAGGCTGGGTTGGCTGTAGCTGTCGCTGCATTCCGGAATATCCATCTTATGCATTCGTCGGTAGACCTTGCAGATCATGACCTATCATCTTCGGGCGCGTATCTCATGGCTTCCCACCACGCACTTGAAGACTGTAGCATAGACCTGCTACTGTTGTAGGTGACATTCCTGAATGATCAACCGTGCTCCGAAACAGGGGGGTGGGGTGGGCAGGTAACATAAAGAACCATGAGTGGAGTGGTGGCCCCTCAACCCTCAACCCTTTATCTATACTCCCCTTAGAACCTCAATACCCTAAACCCTAAACCCTAAACCTAAACCCTAAACCCTAAATACTCCCTTGCGTTTTAGATAAATGCAAAACAAAAACCATTCTGAGGGGGCTACAGTATACCTCCTCGGGAGCCTTACTACTCTTTGCTTTAGAGTTGTGAGGAGCGCGTCTCGGAAGTATTGACCCCCCAGCAGAATGAAAAAAAATACAAGAAAAATACAAGAATGAATTCAAGAGAAAATACAAGTAGCGATTCAGGAACAACGGTGAAATACAAAAAAAAATGCAAGACAAATACAAAAAAAATGCAAGAAAAATACAAGAAAAAATACAAGAAAAATACAAGAAAAATGCAAGAACAATACGAGAAAAATGCAAGCAAAGGAAAAGAAGGGGGGGGGGGGGGGGGGGGGGGGGGGGGGGGCTTGTGTTTTTGTCGTATTTTTTCCGTGTTTTTCGCGTGTTTTTTTCCGTATTTTTTTTCGTATTTTTTCGTATTTTTCCGTATTTTTTTCGTATTTTTTTCGTATTTTTCGCGTGTTTTTCGCATATTTCAAAATACAAGAAAAACACGACAAAAACACTGAAAAAAATGCAAGCAAAGGAAAAGTGGGGGGGGCGGGGGGGGGGCTTGTGTTTTTGGGGGGGGGCGGGGTGGGGGGGCTTTGTGTTTTTGTCGTTATTTTTCCGTTTTTTCGCGTTTTTTCCAGTATTTTTCCGTGTTTTTCGTATTTTTTCGTATTTTTCCGTATTTTTTCCGTATTTTTTCCGTGTTTTTTCCGTATTTTTTCCGTATTTTTTCGTGTTTTTTTTCGTATTTTTCGCGTATTTTTCGCATATTTCAAAATCCCCCCCCCCCTCCTCGCCCCCCCCCCCCCCCCCCCCCCCCCCCCCCCTTTCCCCGCCCCCCCGCCCCCTCCTCCGCCCCCCCCCCCCGCCCCCCCGCGAAAAACGCGAAAAAAACACGAAAAAAACACTGAAAAAATACTGAAAAAATACGGAAAAAATACGGAAAAATACGGAAAAAACACTGAAAAAACACGCGAAAAATACGAAAAAAAATACGACAAAAACACAAGCCCCCCCCCCCCCCCCCGCGCCTCCGCGCCTCTTGTGTTTTTCTTGTATTTGCTCTTGTGTTTTTCTTGTACTTTTCTTGCATTTTTCTTGTAATTTTCTTGTATTTTTCTTGTATATTTCTTGTATTTTTCTTGTATATTTCTTGTATTTTTCTTGTGTTTTTTTGTATTTTTCTTGTATTGTCTTGTAAGTTGCTTGTGTTTTTTTTGTAATTTTCTTGTATTTTTCTTGCACTTTGTTCGGCTGGCTTTTCTGCGCTCGTATTTTTCTTGCATTCCCCGTTGTGTTTTTTTTGTATTTCTTCTTGTATTTATTTAGTTTTACTAGAACCCAATACTTCTGGCACCACGCCCGTCACAACTTTAGAGCCACCCAAAAAAAACACAAGAAACATCTTCCTTACGAGGGCAATATAGAAACTACAACTGATTATTGTGTTGAGGGCTCTTAAGCAGATAGTAGCTTAGGGCTAAACCCTAAACCCTAAACCCTAAACCCTAAACCAAAAACCTTGCTGGGCCTCGCACTTTGAATCGAAGAAGGAAACTTTCGGGGGCAAATCGAGCTGATGGCTGCACGTCTCTTGACTTTCTTGAGCCCAGGCGAGCCGGAGAGATTTTCCATGCCCTAAACCCTAAACCCTAAACCCTAAACCCTAAGCCCTAAGCCCTAAGCCCTAAACCCTACACCCTAAACCCTACACCCAGAAGGAGGGGGGCTGCAAGAGGGGTTGGCGCTCCCTGGCACTCCCTACTCCCAAGTATCCCCAACTTTCCAAGGCCCCCTAGGGCTGCCTAGGTACCGCTTTCACGGTTTAGGGTTTAGGGTTTAGGGTTTAGGGTTTGGGGTTTACTGTCTCCCGGGCCGCATCGCTGAAGGGCGGCACGTTTCCACCGCTCCAAGTCACGCGCATGTTGCGCACAAACACTGATCACAGCCCAGCTTGTTAGCTGACCACACAGGGTCCTTTCCGCTCCCGTATGTGCGCCTACTAGTTGCTTAAGAACCCCCCCCCCCCTCCAAGAAAACAACAGCAATCCCTATTCTAGGATGGCCCTAAAAACCCTCTGAAAGACATTCCTGAATTTGATCCTGTTAAACCCAATAAGGGAAAGTATAAAATGTCCCAAGGCCCTGCCTAAAATTGTTACCTAGAAAGGAAGAATAATCTTGTGCACTGGGGGGGGGGGGGGGGGCGGGGGGAGTTCTGAAGCAACTAGCAGGAGTAACCCTAAACCCTAAACCCTAAACTCTAAACCCTAAACCCTAAACCCTAAACCCTAAACCCTAAACCCTAAAGGAACTCGTAATCAAGTAGCGTGGTCCCTGCACCTTTCTTGAGAACTTCGGGAGACGGATCTCGGACTCATCGGCACGGAAGCAAGGGGTTGTCGAAGAGGCCAGCCTTCAAGCAGCTCTCTTCTCGGCAAAAAAATAGACCCAGGAGTAGGACTGCGAAGAAAAGAAGGGCGACCTTTTTGGTTTATAAAGGGGTTTGTAAGTAAACCCTAAGCCTTAAACCCTAAGCCCTAAACCCTAAACCCGAACAAAAAGGGGAATAAGGGTCTACTCTGGGTCCTAGACGTCGGAACAAACAGCGTCCGATTGGGTGCAAGCTCCCATTTCGGGAGTTGCAGAATCTAGGCGGAGCTCTTGCCGCACACTAGCGAATTGAAGTTCCACAACCCTAAACCCTAAACCCTAAACCCTAAACTTCGAAGACCTATGTGTTCAGGATCTAGGGGGCTTCATAGAAGTTCCCAAGGGCCTTCCTACATGGGCTTAGGGGTTTGGGGTTTGGGGCTTCTTGGGGTACTTGGGGGGTATTTGAAGGCCCTCAGGTCAAGAACGTTCGTCTTCAGAGCTTCTTTGGCTCACCACTTCCACTTAGGCCACACATCGGCTGTCAGCAGGTCGATTCCACTCCTGGCAGCGGGCAATCTCAACCCCCCAAACCTCACAACACCCCGGGGTTTAGGGTTTAGGGTTTAGGGTTTAGGTTTTAGGGTTCAGGGTTCAGGGTTTAGAGTTTAGGGTTTGGGGTTTGCGGTTGGGGGTTGAGGGCTTCGGGCTCAGGGGCTTAGGTCTCTGAAGCACAGCGAGCATCCAGTCGATCGAAGTGATGGTAATCTTGTCTTTCGAGATCAGCAGGTCGTAGAAGCCTTTGTAGCCCAAACTGGGTTTAGGGTTTAGGGTTTAGGGTTTAGGGTTTAGGGTTTAGGGTTTAGGGTTTAGCGTTTAGCGTTTAGCGTTTAGGGTTAGGGTTTAGGGTTTTAAGGCACCCCAAACCCGAAAGCCTAAACCCTAAACCCTAAACCCTTTCTCAGGGAGCCTTCTCAACCCAAACAAAAAGGGGCAACAGGGGCATCACTGGGAGGCCAAGAAGCCGTACTGCGCCTCCCCATACCAGTCCTTGGCTTGGCAGGGCTCAGGGCTCAGGGAATTTAGGGTTTAGGGTTTAGGGCTTAGGGCTTAGGGCTAAGCGTTGAACCCTAAACCCTAAACCTTAGACCCAAAACCCAAAAAACCCTAAGCGATGTGGGATTTAGGGTTTCGGGTTCTCGGACGAGGTTTAGGGCTTAGGGCTTAGGGTTTGGGGTTCAGGGTTTGGGGTTTGGGGTTCAGGGTTTAGGGTTTAGGGTGTAGGGTTTAGGGTTTCGGATGGTTGCAGACCAGATCTCTTAAAAACCGCTGCTGGAATCAAGGGCAATGCAGCGTTCAGATGTTTTAAGTTTGGCTCAGGAGTTCCTAGCCCTGTTTAATCAATGGGTTGAGGGTTTAGCAGGGTTTCGGGTGTAGGGTGTAGGGTTTTGGTTTAGGGCTCAGGGTTTCCGTGGGGAGGGAGGGGGGGGAAAGCAGTTATGAACAAAACCCTAAAACCCCAACCTACACCGTAGACCCTAGACCCTAGACCCTACACCCTAAACCCTAAACCCCTAGCACCCGAGACCCTAAAAACCGACCAGGAGGTCGTGGACCCCTCATACCCCTCATATTACCCCAGAGGGCCCATACCTCAGAACCCTTTAAAGGAGGTAAGGGACCATCTTAAGGGCCCATGAAACGACCTGGTAGAAAACAATGAACAACATTCTTCCCCTAGTAGGGCAACATGGGCATTTCTCAAGATAGGGGCATCCCGAAGATACCCCCCCAAATTTTCATAATCCTTATATAGGACCCACCCAAAACAGGGTTCCCCTACTTTCGGAAACCCCCTATAGGGACATGATTATTTTAAGGGGGGGGGGGGGGGGGGGGTGGGAGTCTTAAGCAAATGCCGGCCAAGCGTCCCTCTTCCAGTAGGGGTTGGGTGTCATTTCGGAGGAGATGCCGCCGCCTCTCCCCCGCTCTCCCCACCCCCCCGCACCCCCCCCCCCCCCCCCCCCCCCCCCCCCCCCCCCCCCCCCCCCCCCCCCACCCCCCGGCACTTGGGATTTAGAGGTCTTGGGGTTTAGGGTTTAGGGTTTAGGGTTTAGGGTTTAGGGTTTAGGGTTTAGGGTGGCTTCATCTGCTCCACGCAGACCACCATAGAAAACACACTTTCGTTTAATAATTCCTGGAGCTTTCTTGCCCAGAGAAGACCAGCAAAATCAGCCCTGAACCCAGACGCTAAGCATGAACATCCCCCCGACCCTCGACCCTCGACCCTAAACCCTCAACTCAAACCCTAAGCCCTAAACCCGAAACCCACACCTCCTCCAGTAATGAAGCAGGTGAGGCCGCCCATCTTGTCGGGCCACCAGAACTCCTTCGGGTTTATAGGGTTCACATATATATATATATATATATATATATATATATACATGTGTATGTATGCATGCATGCATACATGCATGCATGTATTTATGTGTGTGTGTGTCTGTATGTAGGTATGCATGTATGTATGTATGTATGTATGTATGTGTGTGTATGTATGTGTGTATGTATGTATGTATGTATGTATGTATGTATGTATGTATGTATGCATGTATGTATGTAAGTATGTGTGTACGTATGTGTGTATGTATGTGTGTATGTGTTTGTGTGTGTGTGTGTGTATGTATGTATGCATGTATGCATGTATGTATGTGTATGTATGTGTATGTATGTGTAAGTATGTGTATGTATGTGTATGTATGTGTATGTATGTGTATGTATGTGTATGTATGTGTATGCATGTGTATGTATGTGTATGTATGTGTATGTATGTGTATGTATGTGTATGTATGTGTATGTATGTGTATGTATGTGTCTGTATATGTATGTATGCATGTATGTATACATATGTATGTATATGTATGTATGTATGTATGCAAAATATATAAATATAGATATAGATATAGATACAAATAGATATAGATATAGATATAGATACAGATATAGATAGATATAGACATAGATATAGATATAGCTATAGATATAGATGTAGATACGTAAGTATACACAGGGTTTATAGGGGTTATAGGGTTTACGTGTGTGTATATATATATAGAGAGAGGGTTTAGAGCTTGTGGGCTTTATATAGGGTTTCCAGGTTTTATATAGGGCTGTAGGGTTTAAGGGTTTGCGGTTTATAGGGATTATGCGTATGGCTTAAGGGTTTAGGGCTTACTTTGAACAAGGCGGTTCAGGCGTTTGGGGTTTGGGGTTTGGGGTTTACACGTCGGTTTGGAGGTTGACTGGCTTGCCGTTAAGGAACTTCCACTGAAGCTGCCATAAGAAGGAACTCTTATTCTAGTAACTTATGTACGTATCTGAATGTGCGTGGGTATATGTCTATAAACCCTAAAACCCTAAACCCTATGTCCACATTCTGGGAACTCAATTTAGGTTCCTAGCAGTAACCCGAGTCTGTGGAGTTCGGGATCGGGGGTCAGGAGTGCTCTTTTCGAGGCTCCAAAGCGGGAGCCTACATAACGGCCCTTTGGGGTTTAGGGTTTAGGGTTTAGGGTTTAGGGTTTAGGGTTTAGGGTTTAGGGTTTAGGGTTTAGGGTTTAGGGTTTAGGGTTTAGGGTTTACGGTTTACGGTTTAGGGTTTAGGTTTTAGGGTTTAGGCTTTAGGGCTTAGGGGTTTTAGGTTTACGGCTTAACCACCCCGACAAAACCAAACATTCACCCATATGTAGTCGGGGTCCATGTTTTTTTAGTTTCCTTAAAGGGACCCAATGTGAACACTCACCGAAAAGGAACCGTTACTTATACACTCGCCCTGATCCCAGGGGGCTTCTGTGCTTGGGATCTAGAGGTCTTTGGTCTTACAGGGTTCCGGGCTTTGGGGCCCGGAGATTGGGATTTAGGATTTAGGGTTAAGGGTTTAAACCCTAAACCCTGAACCCCAAACCTAAACCCTAAACCCTAAACCCTAAGCCCTAGGCTTTCAAGGCAAAAATGCGAAAAGCCCTCCTGGTTGTGCCGGTGACCGGTGATGAGGAGGTCGAGGCCGAGGCGGTTGTGCATGTCCATCCAGTAGTTCCTTTCCACGTTTAGGGTTTAGCGTTTAGGTTTAGGGTTTCGGGTTTAGGGTTTAGGGTGTAGGGTGTAGGGTTTAGGGTTTAGGGTTTAGGGTTTAGGGTTTGGGGTTTTAGGCTTTAGGGTTTAGGGGGTACTAACAGTCCTAAATAGGGATTATAATCGGGGGTACGATAATCCCGATTAAGGACTGTCAGTATAAGGCCCCTAACTCCCATATAGGAATACTTTTCAGAAAGGCCAAAGGGCTGCCCTGGGCTACTCCTCCCCCCCCCCCCCCCCCCAAAAAAAAAAAGAAGCAAATCATGTGTGTGCGTGTCTGTGCGCGTGTCTGCGTCTGCGCGCACGCGCGATTCTAAAGCGTGTGTAGCCCGACTGGAGGCCATGACGTGCATGGAGGCGTCACCAACTCGACTCCACGGTCACTGACAAGGGTCAAGGGACCAAAGGAGGGACCCTTATGAGGGACCTTAGGGGTTAGTTGGGGGTTATTTAGGGGGCTACTTAGGTATAGGTTAGGGGTTCCTCCTTATTCCCCTTAAAAGATGCAGAAGAAAACTGGCGTGCCAGCTGCATTGCTTCGGGGGCACAATGTCTTGAGACTGTGACGTGCAGCCAGATCACACAGCCAAAAGCCCTCACAAGCCTAGACCTGAACTCACTGAGGTCTTATTTCGACCGGCCGCGGGACATCGATGCACGTGTGTGCGTGTGTGCGTGTGCGTGTGCGTGTGCGCGTGTGCGCGTGTGCGCGTGTGCGCGTGTGCGTGTGCGTGTGTGTGTGTGTGTGTGTGTGTGTGTGTGTGTGTGCGCGCGCGTTTTTCTTGCTACCTTTCGTGAAAATCGTTTCGCTCTCATGAGGAAGGCAAGGCGCAGCCTCTTTCTGCACACGCTTCGTAAGCTTATATACCTTGACCTGAAAACTTAGTTGTCCTTAGAGAACTGAAGGAAAAGGTTTGGGATTATATCGGGATGATAAACGGTAAACGGTTACCTACTCTACTACTAAGAAGGGGTCCTCATTACAGCGGAATGCTACTATTTGGGGGTCTATATTAGGGGTCCCTGGCTTTCGTAAACCCCTGTAGACCTTGAGCGCTAAACCCTAAACCCTAAACCCTAAACCCTAAACCCTCTACTAATCACAAAAGGGCCTAGAGTCTTCTGCGTACCGCACGGGAAGTGCGTCACGGCAATCTGCCACTGGGCCGTGGACGTCTCCAGGAGGCCGGCCAGCCACCCTTGCTGCCGACCCCATAGATCCCAGAACCTTGTTTGGGGTCTAGGGTTTAGGGTTTAGGGTTTGGGGTTTAGGGTTTAGGGTTTAGGGTTTAGGGTTCAGGGTTCAGGGTTCAGGGTTCAGGATTCAGGGTTCAGGGTTGAGAGTTAAGGGCTGAGGGTTCAGGGTTTAGGGTTTAGGGGTTAGGCAATAGGGTTTAGGGTTTAGGGTTTAGGGTTTATCACAGAACGCCTCTTTTGTTGTTGCCGGGGTTCTGGGCGTTCAAAACGCATCGAACCTACACTCAAGACCCAAGACCCCAAACCCTAAACCCTAAACCCTAAACCCTAAACCCTAAACCCCAAACCCTACATTAGAGACCCAAGGAGCCACTGGTGGCAACTGTTGACGTCCCATGGACCACCCACGGCTCCGCAGGTGGCGCCTTTTGGGTTGAACTTCTCCTTAGCTGTGCAGGGTTTAGTGTTTCGGGTTTAGGGTTTAGGGTTTAGGGTTTAGGGTTTAGGGCCCCAAAACAGTGTACACTTTCAGTTCTATAGGGGATTATAGTATCCCACAAAGTGTAAAGTGTACTCATTCAGCTACTAAGGTTCCGAGCAAATGTTGTGCTGCGGCTCCAACCACATGTCCTTGCCATCCTCGTTGTTAGAGTCCACGAAATAGAGGTCTGCCCAGAAGTTCTCTTCCTCGAAGTAGACCTTCACCGTGTAGTAGGCTGCAGGCAAGACCCAGCGGTTGCTCCTCCATGTGTAGGCAATCCTTAATCCACTTTTCTGGGACCGCTGTGGATAAGAAACGACTTCCTGCTTCACTGGAGCGCGCAGAAGAAACAGAAACAAAAACCCTAACCCCTAAACCCTAAACCCTAATCAAGAGCGCCCCAAGAATCTGCTGGTCCCAGCCGTTGTTGAACTGACGGCCACCCCAATCGTGGTTGCCGAGGACACTGAACCAGGGAATGCCATCAAGTCCCGGCCCGTTGTAGATGCCCCTTAGTTCTCCCCAACCTGAAATACAAAGGGAAAATGGGATCCAACAGCCCCAAGAGTTCAGCCCTACCAGAAAGACGCGCAAACTTGAACTTCCTCTCGGCAGGGGCTCTCGAAGATTTGATCAAACTGGTGTGTCGCAGTGGATGACAGCTCGTCCATCGGGGTCCCGCAATCCTTCTCGATGCCTCCCCAATAAAAGTTGTCGCCCACGTTCCTAAGCAGTTCTGAAACCCCCTTCTGAAGAATGCGGATGTTGGACCCATATATATTTCTAATCTGAAAAAGATAAAACTATTAAAAGCCATGGACAAGAGAAATCAATAATTGCCCAAGAGTTCAATATGAACTTCGGACGGAGTTGTTCGGCTCTCTGCTTCATAGTCTTTGCGACCAGCAGCTGCGCTTGGGAATCGATGTCCCTCGGAAGACGAAAAGTGCAGTACGGAACCTGCCACATAAGACCTGTAAGCCACATAAGCCCCAGAAATCATATAAGGCCCGTGAAACCGTGTAAAACACCTTCGACCTAGTTGCACTAAAGGGTGAGGATTGTGGGTTGAGCTTTTAGGGTAGCCTCAGACAGGTTAAACCCCAACCGCATCGGGGGTGCTATGTCAAGGACTCGAAACTCTCAAAGCCTTTCTCAACAAAACGTCCGGGCAACTTGTCATAGCCGCACTCGGGTTTGCAACCCCACGCCCCCCACATCTTGTAGCACAAGAGCAGCCTCAGCTTCTCCCTAAGCCCTATAAGCCCTAAGCCCTAAGCCCTAAACCCCTACCAAGCCGTTCAGAGCTCTGACAGCACAACAGACGGAAGCACGAATTGTCGCTGACTTTGCATGAGAGATTTCAGCGGGTTAAGGGATTTGGGGTTTAAGGCTTATGGCGTTCAAGAGGTTTAGGGGTTTAAGGGAGGGCTTCAAGGGGTCAAGGGGTTGAGGGGTTCAGGGATTTAGGGGTTCAAGGGGTGGTCAGCGGTCTGAGTCTACGGTCGAAAAGGCAAAGGGGAAAACGTTGCCTCCAGTCACGACCGGCAACTCGGCATGATTACACATCAAAAAATCATGCTTCTTGTTCCAACGCGTGCGCGGGAAAGGAGTGGGACCTGGCACAAGAGGGTGCAATCCAAAAGCCTAAGCCCCTAAACCCTATACCCGTATAGTTAGATGGGCTAGTTTGGGCCTTAGATTCCCCCACGCTGAGCTATGAGGGTTTCAGGGTGTAGGCTTTAGGGTTCCGGGCTAAAGGAGGGGTTGTCTGGGGGCTTTGCCTACGTGCAGTCTTGATGCGATACCCATACCGGTTCAGTGTGGACACGAATCGGAAGGCACCTAGAAAACACAGGCAGGGTTGGGAGGTGTAAAGGGCTTTTGAGGGTTGTTTGGGTAGAGGGGAGTTGTAGGGTTTTTGAGGGTTGCTTCGGTGGAGGGGGTTTAGGGTCTAGGAGTCTAGGAAAGGTTCCACGCTTTAGGGCTCATTTCGCACACTGGCACTGGCCTGGCGTCGGTAGGCCCCACCTTATCGTGGAGAGAAAACGAAACCAGGGGGGGGGGGGGGGGGGGGGGGGGGGGGGGGGGGGGGGGGGGGGGTGGGGAGTGGGGATTCTACCTGATGCGGGCGGAAAGGGTCACTGATGTCTTGAAGCTTTCAGATGCAGTTCGGCTGCTGTTTATTGACTTGGAGTCTTAACGAGAAAAAGCAAGGATGGAATTGCCAGAAGCCCGAACACCTTGTGAGTTTTTTCCAAAAAACCATACCATTATAGGTTGGTTTAGGGTTTAGGGTTTAGAATAATGATTCTGACATCCAAGACACCCCCACCAGGGCATCAATGGGTCTCTGCCCGGTTCGGGCGGGAGCGTTGTGTCCATACCGCCCCAGTCACCTCAGCAGCGGAGCTTGAAGACCATGGCATAAGCCCCTAAGCCCGAAGCCCCAATTAAGCCCTAAACCCTACACCTCTCCTACCATATAATTATAAACCTTAATGGTATTCGTGGGCAAGGCCCAAATATTCGTGGGCAAGGCCCAAAGATTCGTGAGCAAGGCCCAAAATATTCGTGGGCAAGGTCCAAATATTCGTGGGCAAGGCCCAAAAATTCGTGGGCAAGGCCCGGCCTTGAGCCCCTCAACCCTTAAGACCCTAAACCTTTGAGCCCCTAAACCCTTGAGACCCTAAACCCTTGAGCCCCTAAACCCTTGAGACCCTAAAACCTTGAGTCCCTAAACCATTGAAACCCTAAACCCTTGTAAACCCTTGAGACCCTAAACCCTTGCGAACCCTGTTAGTTTTGTTGTTGAGCCATCCTAATAATAAGAAGAAACTATGTATTTCTTAATGTTATGGGAACTCCGGGTGGGTGGGTATTTTTCGATGGTCTAAACAGCGAACCTAAACGAGAAACTGCTCGACCAGGAGCTCTTGAACCCTAAACCCTAAACCCTAAACCCTAAACCCTAGGCCCACTTTAAAAGGTCTGGGGCGTAGGGGGGATGAAGAATGCTGACGTCATGAGGTCCGGTCATCACACACACACACACACGCTGATACTCTGATTGTGAATCCTAAACCCTAAACCCTAAACCCCAAACCCTAAACCCACAACCCTAAAACCTAAACCCTGGCATCTTCCGGATGCCAAAAATGTATACCCCTAACCCTACACCCCAAACCCTAAACCCCAAACCCTAAACCGCAAACCCTAAACCCTAAACCCCAAACCCTGAACCCTAAACGGTCCCAAACCCTCCCAAACCCTAAGCCGCCTTGAACAAGTCATGTTCAACTGAGGCGCCGATGGCCAAAACGTGATATGGCCCAGGCCCTTCGACCTTCACCTCACTTGGTTCTGAGTCGGCAGGGTTTAGGGTTCAGGGTTCAGGGTTCAGGGTTTGGGGTTTAGGGAACCTTGAACCGCTAATCACCACTCCACTCAGTTAAGGCTTTGCCACAGCTCACAAGGGGCTTGTTTATCACAAGGCGCCCGCCAAGCAGAATGCGAATACGACCACGGCTCAACAGCACCAAACTTCAAGAAACCCGACATGCGACACCTTCATGTCTTCCACGCCAAACGAAGTAGACAATCACCCTAAACCCTAAACCCCAAACCCCAAACCCTAAACACTCACATGCCCCAGAACTTGTTCACTCGGATCGGAAACTCTCAAGCAGTATGGAAGACGGCACCAACGAGATCCCTTCCCAGCACTGCAACTTTCAATAGGCTTTAGGGTTTAGGGTTTAGGGTTTAGGGTTTAGGGTTTAGGGTTTAGGGTTTAGGGTTGTAGGGACAGGCTGGCGATGTTCGGAGTCGTAATTTCGGGCTCCCGGTGTTGGTTTAAGGTTGTTGGCTGTCTTTTACCCAGTCCTTTAGGGGGTAGGGTTTAGGGTTTAGGGTTTAGGGTTTAGGGTTTAGGGTTTAGGGTTTAGGGTTTAGGGTTTAGGGTTTAGGGTTTAGGGTTTAGGGTTTATAGGATAGGATGAAGGGGAGCCTTGGGGATAGAGACCCTCTGAATAAGGTCCCAAATTAAGATAGCCAGAAGAGGGTAGGGTTCCCTTTTCAGGGCCCCTCTTATCCTACCTACGGTCCTTGGTGCAACCTTTGACTTTTGGAGAACAGGTCACCAGGGGCCACTGCAGCCCATTGTAGTCCAACGCCTTCTTGGGCGGCTTGCATCGGATGTCCTGCATGATCTGAGAGTTCCGTTTGTGCTGGGCTACAGGGTTGAACTACAAAAAACCTAAGCCCTAAACCCTAGGCCCTAAGCCCGAAGCCCTAAACCTTAAGCTCTAAGCCCTACCCTTCGCCCTAAGCCCGAAACCCTAAGCCCTAAACCCTAAGCCCTAAACTCTGAGCCCTAAGCCCGAAGCCCTAAACCCTAAGCCCTATAATTACCGCAAAAGAGAGAAAGGAAATCGAAGACCAAAAGCTCCAACCCAGGGTTCACGGCCTCTCTTGAGGGCTCGCGGCGGCTCGCGCAAACACTTTGAGAAACCCAAAATCACCGACTTTAGGGGTTAGGGTTTAGGGTTTAGGGTTCAGGGTTTAGGGTGCCACGGGGCGGTGGGGGGGGAGGGGGGCCTGGGGGGGGGTTGGGGCGTCAACCATCTCTCGAGAACCCAAGACAAAGAGAACCACGTTCCATGTCGTTCCCGGAATTAAGGAGTTGGTCATTCTAATCTTCTTGACGTCCTTAAAACCTAAACCCGAAACCCGAAACCCCCTAAACCCTAAACCCTGAACCCTAAACTAAACCCTAAACCCCAAGCCTCGTGGGTAAGCCTATGAACCCCCTCCCACATGGGCAATGAAGACATAACATGGCGTCATCTTGTTTCTTTTATTGCACCATCTCATGTCTCATGTGGTCAGCTCTCGAAAAAAATATCCCTTCAGGTCCTTATTAAAAGGGGGCCTAAAAGGGGCCGTAATTTTGGGAACTGACCCTGCATTGTTTTTTAGCATTATCTCATGTAGCATTTTAGCATTTAAACTGTATAATAAATTTTCAATTCTGTTGTGCTCGCCTGAAGATACTCTACTTTCTTACTCGGTTCTGCTATAAAGTATATCAAGATTCGCGGATGGGATTAAAACCCTAAACCCTAAACCCGATGGTCCTCGGAGGTGTTGGTGCAGCCCCTTGGCCGCTCGGGGACCAGGCACATGTGGCAGGGCGGATGGGTGCACATGCCTGAGTTAGGGTTTAGGGTTTAGGGTTTAAAGGATTTAGGCTTAGAGGTAGGCGGGATAAGGGATTTATTCTACCCCTTAATACTACCCCCCTCTGTACTACTCCCCCCAGGTTCCCCCCATAGTTAAGGCTATTAAGGGATAATTAAGGCCTAATTAAGGCTTATTGTATAGGAGGGCGGGTAGTAGGGGAACCCATGAGTTTAAGGGTTTGAGGATTTAGAGTTGTCGGCCGAGTGTCAGGGAGGCGTGAAGCATTCTCTGTCAAGGTTGCCCTCGGGGGGCGCACACCAGAAGAGCTTCTGGAAGTCGTCGATGCTGGCGTTCAGCGCATCCACTTTCGCGTACTTCTTCATGTTTGCATTCACGCCCTTCAACCACAGCTTCGCAGCATGCACTTCTGAAGCATTGTAGGTTGCATTTGTAGTGTTTGAGCTGTTTGAGCTGTTTGAGACGGGTGGTATGTATTTGGCCTTCGCGATCTGCTCGAAGGCCCATTTCACGTGGTATGTGCACTTCTTGTTCTCCGGCGCGTCTAAAGGTGCGCAGTAGCGCGAGGTGTAGTGCGGCTCATCTGGGTAGTACGTGACGAACTCATCCTTCGCGGTGAGCTCTTGCAAGCCTGCACGGTCCGAAGCACGCTACACATCTCTCTACGCAAGCCTCGGATCCCTAAACCCTAAACCCCAAACCCTAAACCCTAAACCCCAAACCCTAAACCCTAAACCCCAGACCCTAAACCCTAAACCCCAAACCCTAAACCCTAAACCCCAAACCCTAGTTACCCTCGGCCTTGGAGGTTGGCTGTCACAGGGTCGACGAGCGCCCCTGCGGGCCACGGCAAGGCCCAAGCCCAGGCCAAGACCAGGCCTTTGGGGCTCACCTGGGGTTTAGGGTTTAGGGTTTAGGGTTTGGGGTTTAGGGTTTAGGGTTTAGGGTTTGGGGTTTTGGGGTTTTGGGGTTGGGCTTTGGGGTTTGGGGTTTAGGGTTTGGGCTTTAGGGTTTAGGGTTTAGGGTTTAGGGTTTAGGGTTTAGGGTTTAGGGTTTAGGGTTTGGGGTTTAGGGTTTAGGGTTTGGGGTTTAGGGTTTGGGCTTTGGGGTTTGGGGTTTAGGGTTTGGGTTTTCGGGTTTAGGGTTTGGGGTTTAGGGTGAGGGTTCAGGGGTTTAGGGTTAGGGTTCAGGGGTTTGGGGTTGCTTGTCATAGCCTTTGGGCCTCAAGGGGTCAGCACCTCGGAATCCAGTAGGAATTTTGCTATGGGGGCCCCCGTTACAAAGCCTACCCAAACCCGAAACCCGAAACCCCAAACCCTAAATCCTAGACCCGAAACCCTAAACCCTAAACCCTAAACCCTAAACCTGAAACCCTAGACCCTAGACTATGGGGAGGGCCCTTGCGCCTCATACTTACCTGTCTTACTCCGGGAGCTACCGCTGTTTTGGGGTCCGCATAGGGTTTCCTTTACAGGCCCTAAACCCTAAACCCTAAACCCTAAACCCTAAACCCTAAACCCTAAACCCTAAACCCTAAACCCTAAACCCTAAACCCTAAACCCTAAACCCTAAACCCTAAACCCTAAACCCTAAACCCTAAGCAGTAGGGCCATGCAGGGGTCTTCGTGTTCAGTCGGATCATGCCGCGGGGTCTCTTCTAGGTGGGGAAACGATCTAGCAGAATCCTGGGTAGGGTTTAGAGTTTAGGGTTAAGAATTTAGGGTTTTAGGTTTAGGGTTTAGGGTTTAGGGTTTAGGGTGTAGGGTGTAGGGTTTAGGGTTTAGGGTTTAGGGTTTAGGGTTTAGGGTTTAGGGTTTAGGGTTTAGGGGGTGGTCCATGAAGTCGGCTCCACATCAGAAGCAGCGGTGCCCGTCACATGCAAGTACACCGTTCACCGAAAGCCTGATTGTCCGTCGAAACAAAGTTTAGGGTTTGGGGTTTAGGGTTTAGGGTTTCGGGTTTCGGGTTTAGGGTTTAGGGTTTAGGGTTTAGGGTTTAGGGTTTAGGGCGTGGCAAAGGGTTTGGGGGTTGAAACCTGCGACTCAGGGTCAGCTTGCAAGCCCAAGTCACCATGGGACCACTCTCTTCGCGTCGCGCGCTCGCGCGGGGGGCAAGCGACCTACGACTTACGAACGTCTCCCACGGTGGGCTACGGCTAAGTTGCCAGCGCCTCTTCGGAAGCGGCAGCGGAAGCCGAAAGATCCGTGCTGGCACCCTAAACCCTAAACCCTAAACCCTAAACCCTAAACCCTAAACCCTAAACCCTAAACCCTAAACCCTAAACCCTAAACCCTAAACCCTAAACCCTAAACCCTAAACCCTAAACCCAAACCGCCCTACAGCGCACACCCCTCATGCCCTGAGGCCTAGAAGCCCAAGACCTTGAGGCACTTCTACAGAACCCTAACCCCTACACCCCAAACCCTAAACCCAAAAGCTTCGAATCCCCTACAAAAAACACCAAACCCTAAATCCGAAACTCGAAACCCGAAACCCTAAACCCTAAACCCTAAGCCCTAAGCCCTAAACCCTAAACCCCCAAGCCAAGCCTTGGGCCGTTTAGGGGTTTAGGGGTTTAGGGGTTTAGGGGTTTAGGGGTTTAGGGGTTTAGGGGTTTAGGGGTTTAGGGGTTTAGGGGTTTAGGGGTTTAGGGGTTTAGGGGTTTAGGGGTTTAGGGGTTTAGGGGTTTAGGGGTTTAGGGGTTTAGGGTTTAGGGTTTAGGGTTTACAGGGTTTATAGGGTTTATAGGGTTTAGGGTTCGTAAGGGGGGGGGGGGGTAGAAGGGGGCACATGCTCAGAGCGGGCCGCCCACCTAACACTTGAAACTCAACGCAAAGCACCTCTTTTCCAAGCGACATCGGAGTCGCCGCAAGCAGATCGATGACTTGCAGGCTTGCGCTCGGGTGAGGGTTTAGGGTTTTGGGTTTAGGGTTTAGGGCTTAGGGTTTTGGGTCTTGGGTTTAGGGTTTTGGGTTTTGGGTTTAGGGTTAGGTGTTAGGGTTCGTGTTATCCCTCCTCTGGCAGAAGTTCGTCATCCTCAAAGGCCAGGTACGGATCACACTTTGCTTCGCCTGACGCTTACGGTTATTTAGGGTTTAGGGTTTAGGGTTTAGGGTTTAGGGTTTAGGGTTTAGGGTCTAGGGTTTAGGGTTTAGGGTTTAGGGTTTATTGTTTAGGGTTTAGGGCTTAGGGTTTAGGGTTTACGGCTGTTTAGGCTTTAGGGTTCAGGGCTTAGGGCCTAAACCCCAAACCTGTAAGGCGCAAACTACCCGAAGTTACCCTGACAGCTCATTTTCTTGATTTCCATTTGGGCCTGAAATCGGATGACAACGCTAGACCCTAAACTCTAAACGCTAAACCCTAAACCCTAAACCCTAAAGCCTATGTGGGCGGTCTGGGGGGGCTCTGCCGGAACCTCCAAAAACTCCCTACCAGACTTGCGCAAGCTCCCCAGAACCCTAAGCCCGAAACCGAATTGCTTCAAAACTAACTAAGAAATCCCGTATGCAAAAATAAAAACTTGGGGCAGTTTAGGGCTTTAGGGTTTGGGGGCTTTGGGGGTTTTAGGGTTTTAGGCAAGGGGCCCCCAGTTGATGGAGCGATAGTGGTTGAGGCACTTGGGGATCTAGGGTTTCGGGTCTACAGTTTCAGGGTTTAGGGCAGTTTGGGGTTTAGGGCAGTTTAGGGTTTAGGGTTTAGGGCTTAGGGCTTAGGGCTTAGGGTTTAGGGTTTAGGGTTTAGGGTTTAGGGTCCGGCATCTCTACCCGGGTTGCCGAGGACGGGGGGGCGGGGGCGGGGGCAGGGGGCAGGGGCGCAAAATGCGAAATCTTCACCCCGGGTCCTTAGTCGCAGTTCTCAACCCGAAATCTAAAGCCCACCAGAAGCCAAAAGCACCGATGGAAAGCAGCACATAGTATGCCAGAGCCTCCACTGAGCTCACCATCGTCATCTCAGGCAGGGAACGGGTTACCCTAAACCCTAAACCCTAAACCCCAAACCCTAAACCCTAAACCCTAAACCCTAAACCCTACACTCTGAGGGTTTAGGGCGGAACTTGGGTTCGCACAGTCTACACGCTCCCAGCCTCGTCAATCTGCAAGGGAAGGCGCTCCCCACACAACAGCCCTCAACCACCTCCCCCCCCCTCAGTATGAAAGAACAGACCTTAGGGTTTAGGGTTTAGGGTTCAGGGTTTAGGGTTTAGGGTTTGGGGTGTTAGGATTTGGGGTTTGGGGTTGAGGGTTTGGGGTTTAGGGCATTTAGGGGTTATGAAGGACCTTGAACCCTGCCAGCAAGGCGCGAGAGGACTCGTATCATCTACGCATGTTGTTGGAAGACCCCCGCGCACAAGGACGCGCGACCCGGATTACAGTACCGACATACCCATGACAATGGCCAAAAACCATGTAAGCTGCCACGGCACGCCTAAACCGTAAACCCTAAACGATCACGAAGTACAAGCCGTGAACCCGAAACCCGAAGCACAAGCGAGCAAAGGCACCCTCAACACCAAACCCTACTCCCGTTAACACCCCAAACCCTAAACCCTAACTACACCCTACTAAACCCCAAACCCCTCACCCCTAAACCCCAAACCCCAAACCCCAAACCCTAAACCCTAAACCCTAAACCCTGACGCCCGCACTTCGGGGTCCCCGGGCCTGGCGCGTCTGCGTTTGCAAGGGCGGCCGGCTCCGTGGGCTCTGTGGGCTCCGCTGCCTTGACTTCCACGGCGAGGGGCTTGCGGGGGGGGGGGGGGGGGGGGGGGGGGGGCACGGACCCTCCGCCCATTTGCAAACACACTGCGCGCGCGCGCGCGCGCGCGCGCGCGCGCGTATGACCGGTTGGGACGGGATTCGGATGCGATAAAACCGCAACCCCTTGTCTTTCTGTAAGGTAAAGCTTGCCGCTTGCACGGCTTATCCCCTTCCTTGCTTGCAGGCTGTGTCGCCGGAGGGAGGTGGAGAGAGGGAGAGAGGGAGAGAGAGAGACAGACAGCGAGAGACAGCGAGAGCGCGACGCGGGCGGATGAAGAATCAAAAGACCGATGCAAAAGTCTCCCAAAACACCACCACCATACCATGGAGAGGTGGGGCGGGGGGGGGCAGGGTGGGGCGTGAGTGAATTCTGCTGGCTCTATAGCGGCGTAGGGGTGATTTAACAAAATCCAGCGCTTGGGGCCCTACAACCCTGAACCCTAAACCATAAACCCTTAAAAACAAGGCCCTGGGTTCCCCGGTAGCCGAAAGATTTACGTTCGGGCTTTGGACTTAGCAGGGGTTCGGGGCTTAGAGGTTTCGGGCTTAGGGTTTCGGGTTTAGGGTTTAGGGTTTAGGGTTTAGGGTTTAGGGTTTAGGGGGCTTATAGGCTGAGAGGTTTAGAGGTTTAGGGCTATAGAGGCTTGGGGTTTACAGGCTGCGGGCTTTGGGGGCATAGGGCTTGGAGGTGCCCTTGCTTTGCTCAAGGGGGTTGGTATCCCACACCTCCGGGCCAAGTCATCCCAGAGACCCATTAGGGGACCAGAATTCGAGGGTTTCGTGTCTAGAGCTTGGGGCTTAGGGTGTAGGGCTTTGGGTTTAGGGTGTGGAGTTTTGGGCTCCTGTTTTTAGGGCGTAGGGTGTAGGGTGTAGGGTGTAGGGTGTAGGGTTTAGGGTTTAGGGTTTAGGGTTTAGGGTTTAGGGTTTAGGGTTTAGGGTTTAGGGTTTAGGGTTTAGGGTTTAGGGTTTAGGGTTTAGGGTTAGGTTTAGGGTTTAGGGTTTAGGGTTTAGGGTTTAGGGTTTAGGGTTTAGGGTTTAGGGTTTAGGGTTTAGGGTTTAGGGTTTAGGGTTTAGGGTTTAGGGTTTAGGGTTTAGGGTTTAGGGTTTAGGGTTTAGGGTTTAGCCCCCCGAGACGCCACACAGGAAGCCGAGCCTGCGCCTCGTTCGCGAGCGGAGTGGCCTCTTCGACATGGGCCTGCCTCCTGCGCCGGCTTAGGGGCTTGGAGGTTAGGGTTTAGGGTTTAGGGTTTAGGGTTTAGGGTTTAGGGTTTAGGGTTTAGGGTTTAGGGTTTAGGGTTTAGGGTTTAGGGTTTAGGGTTTAGGGTTTAGGGTTTGGGGGTTAGGGGTTAGGGTTTGGGGTTTAGGGTTTAGGGTTTAGGGTTTACTGTTTAGGGTTTAGGGTTTCGGGCTTGGGATTCAAAATGTAAAACTTGAGATTTGGGGTTTGGGGTTTGCTGTGAAGGAAACTGGGCCCATTCTTGCTTGGTAAGGTTCATAAAGGAGCTGTCTTAGATCAAATACACTCGACCCTGAACCCCGAAGCTCTCAAACCCCGCAAAGTAGGCGCCTAGTTCCCAAGTTTCCTACCAAGAAAAGCCCCCACAACCCCCTAAGCCTGTAACCCCAAGACCTAAAATCCCAAAGGCAGTCAAGTTGCAACAACCTGGGGGGCTTGCGAGAATAGGGGACCCCCCCCCAAATATGGATCCCCAAATGGCAGGATTCCCTGATAATAAGGACACCAGTACCTTGGGGACCAAATGAACCCTAAAAGGGTTTATGGTTCATATGCCTTCATCGGAATGATAGTAGTATAGGGTATATGACCCCAATTTTAGGGTTCATTTCGTCCCCAAGGTAAGGTACCCCAAAATTTCGGAAACCCCCACATCCACAAGGACTCCAAGGGCTTCCACTCGAAGCAAAGGTGCACTTATAAACCCTACACCCGAAATCCTAAACTCCTGAACCCTGAACCCTGCACCCTGAACCCTAAACCCGAAACCCCTAAACCCTAAGCCCCAATCTTTGACACAGAGCGCCCACACCTGGAGTCCGAAGCCCTAAACCCTAAACCCTAAACCCTTCACCCTAAACCCTAAACCCTAAACCCTAAACCCTAAACCTGGAGTCCGAAGGATCCCGAAGAACCTGCGGCCCGGGCCCGGTCCTTTCGCTGGTGTCTCTGGGGTCCGCAGGGCCGTCCTCCACCACCTGACAGCGCAGGAGCTCCCTTGGGTCGGGGTTTAGGGCTTAGGGTTTAAACAGAGTTCAGGGTTTAGGGTTCAGGGTTTAGGGTTTAGGGTTTAGGGTTTA